AATTGGCGAACTGGTCTATATTGTCCAAGGACCGAAAAACATTCACAAACGCCACTGGAACCAGCTCAGAAAATGCCGTTTGAAGGAATCGGAGAAATCACTACGAAATAGCTGTGAAAAGCCGATCGACGTAATTTTCGATCACTTCGATCTCGACACGCCCCAAGTCTCTCCTGAATGCAACGCTCAGGAAGGAAAAGGAAATTTACTCAACCGCTCGACGTAATACCCAAGAGAAAAAAGTATTAACAGTTTTATGGTTTTTTTCTCTCCTTTTCAAAAAAAAAAAGAAAAAAAAACTCTTGGGAGGGGGGTGTTGTGAGACCGTAATATACCTACAACATGGACTGTTCCAGGACTATATAAAGTATGCGATATAATACTCTAAGAGAAGAGGAGGAAAGAGAGAGAGAGAGTATTCTAATACCGTAGTATCAACCGCGTACGACTACCAATATTGGACACTAGCACATAGTAAGTTCCGCTTACACTTACACTATCTTTGTAACCTTTTTGTTTAATATATCTTTCTTACCTCTAATCCGTGTTCCGTGTTTTCCTTCCGCGGTCCCAACTTTGGGCCCACATCATATACATAAAAGGATAATAGAATAATAAAAGGATGGAATATGTGCTCATCGACAGGATACATAAAATCAAGAGTCATAATAGAGAAAGAAAAAAAATACTTCAAATATGAAACGAATATATCGGAGAACTGTTCTACAACGAAAGGGGGAAACCTGCAATACACAAAAATATGGAAGGATCTGGTCAATATAAACCAGAACATAGAGATGCTATCAGTCTTAAACGATTTCGGCATTGACAAGATTACAAAAATTATAAAAGACATGCAACAGTGCTGACAGAGTGAGAGACCTTAGATCTATATAGCGCTATGTAACCAAAGAAGTTAGATACAAATGAATGCGAGATTCATCGGAAAATAAGCCTAATGAGCATCATAATTAAATTTATCAACCGAATTCTGATAAATACAGCAGAACTGAACCGAAAATAGGACAAAAACAGAGCAGTTTCGTTAGACACTGGAAAAATTAATGTAATATTAGTGCTAAGAATGATATAATTTAGGTCAATATAAATGAATCAGGACATATTGATCTTTTATCTATTATGCAGAAGCATTTGATGAGTTACATAACAAGGAACTATTTGAACTTATTACAGCTATCATTGTAAATAATATAAACAATGGTAACCACTCATTCCAGATGGAAATGATAGATTTCGTAAAACAACGAAAAACAAAAATTCTCATTTTTAAGACAGAATACAAAATTTGTGAATTTCTCGGTATTTTCGTGTAATAATTACGAAGAATATCACCTCTTATTTGTAAGCTAAAACTTAATTTTCTGATTCGTGATATCATGCATATACTGAGCTAACGAAATAAAGTTTTTCGTGTTATATTTTCGATTGTTCCTAAACGTTTTGATTTTTGCTTATTATATTACTAGTATAGGGATTTGCTTGAAATTTCATATACAAAATTGTCAAACGAGAATGGTACACGAGAAGCACCTATTCTATCTCATAAATGATTACTCGTTCAAACAGTCCCAATGTAATTACACCCGCTCAAACGGCTTAACATCTGCAATTAATTTCGCTTTGTTCTCATATGACCTTTTTGTCAGCTGAATTTCTATAAACTCTTTGAATAAATTTTGTCAAAACTTATTTTGAATGTTAGCTGTGGATGTGAAAGTTAACATTCGAAATGTACAAGTTCAACACTTCTCTATCTTGCATTGCTGTTATTGAAAAAAAACGAGCATTAATACTACCAATAAGTTTGTGACTAAATATAAATTGTATATTTAGTTACAAATGAAAGAGCCAACAAAATATTACATATTACATTAAACATACAACCGATGGTTGTGTATCTTCAGCCTGAGGATTAACAAACAATAATCACCGATTCTCCATAGATTCCGAGTTACATCGGAATGTGTCTACTAAGGCATAAAGAATACCAAATGGTAAGTTTGTTTCAGTATACGCATTCGCACATACATATACAAAAAATATGTCATTTAAATATTTTTGGCTGTTATTTACGTACATATCTGTCCCAATATTCAAATTAGAACTTAATCAGCTATCGATCCTGGTTAACTGAAATTATCTGCGTTTATTCTAATGCTTTGTCGCAAGTGATCATCTCTTTCTCGCTTCCATTATCTGTGTCTGTCAAAGGATATCGCTAATTATTATACATCAACATATAAACCTAAATAGATAAATTGACTGATTAATTCATTTATAGTCATATTCCTGCGTGTAAAATAAATTGAGATGCAAAATGTGCATATCAAAGCAAGTTTTAAAATTATTTCATAACCTGAAAATACATAAATCTAAACAATATTAGACTAGCCCTTTGTTTAAGAGAACTTGTAAAAGAATTTTTCATTTGGTGATTATTCGTACTGTTCTGAACTTAAATATCATCATCTGCTTCATCTTATGATCTATTAATAATATTTTTTCATTAACTTTATCTTATCCAATTATTAGTAAATGTCCCTAACAGTTTATCATGTATGGATATATATGCATATTCGTCTGGCATTGGCTAAATTTAATAAAACACCGTCCTTATGTCTAAAATGTAAACGGAAATATTTTTTAAAAGTGAAATTTAACAGATGCAAAATATCAAACACAAGAAGCAACAGTCAACAAAAAACCTCATCTTAATTTATTAAGCTCAGCTCAACCTATAAACAGAAATATAAAGGGAAAAAAACTTATTACTGTTTAATGTTCATTCTAGGTAAGAGATATAATTCTGTTAAAAATGATTCACTTCAATACAAACTCAAGCTATTTTCTAAAACTGCTGTTGCTATTTATTTAGGATTTTCAATAATACGAATAAATTATTGAAATGGTCCTATCATTGAAAATTTTGCGCTACGTTTGATTGTATCAACTAAAAAAAATAAGTGGTGTTGATATAATAAACAATAGTCTTCTTTTATTTTCATTTCCATTTCAAAGGCTGATTTGACAGGAAGTTTCACTTTAATAATTTCTATTCAGTACTAAGCCAACATTGACCTTACTTTAGATCCCATATGGGTCACCCAGCATTGAATACTCCTCACTGTAGATAACCGGGACAACATTTTTGTCACGTATTTATTACCCTACTTTTTAACCTATCAACTTTCAAATTTCCTTTTCCCAATATTCTATTCGCCAGCATATTTTGCTCTAGTCGTTTGTATCTCCTTTGTGTCGTAATCTTTTTGTCATTTACACATAATTTATACACAAAATACTCTTTATCTTTTGCTTATATATCTTACCACTTTTATTTTACCTGTTAATTTGCTTCTTCTCTTATATAATGTCTTTATCCTTCTATTTTTTTCTTTCTCATTATATGCTTTCAACCTCTTTGAGCACACATACAAATCCATTTTTGCGCTGAAAATAACAAAAAACATCTTAGGATACATAAAAACAATTCTCTCTTGTAGATTCACCTATTACAATTCTTCTCAGAGTGCTATACAAATATACAAAAACATAAAAAAATCAATAATATAAGACAGGTTATAATACAAAATAAAACTTTAACCAAAGTTTACAAATTTTACAATCTATCCATATTGAGCGAAAACAACAAAAAATTAAAATTGCTAAAGATTTCGGAATAGGCATTCTAAAATGTTTTTAAATTCTCAGATTCCACATTGTGTCAATGTTGTGTAACACCACAGAGTTTCAGTACTCTAAAAATGACATCAGATTCACGTAACAACAACAACATGATATACAATCAAAACTCAAAATCCCAAATCATTCCAAAGACAAATCATTGGGTTAGAACAAGTTTGTAGCGTTATTTTTTCTTCAGTGAAATCCAACGACAATACTTCGATGTTTTTACATAGATTTACTCAACTATATATATGTTAATTTGTTCAAATACCTTTCACCATCTTTTAGGCAGCTTCATGATTCCATACTCTCAAAATTGGCATCTTTCTAAGTGATGAACTGGTGTAAATGTTTTTATTGCAGGCTACAGAGAACTGAAGTTTTTCCTATTAAGAGAATTTTGTAGGGATGGTAATATTAAGGTGCAAGATCGGTTGAGTATAATGGATATAATTTCTGTCGGGTCTGCAAATGAAATCCTGATAAAAAACGACAACCTTCCGATTGCCCAGTTCTGGACGCGTTTTATTGATTCCTGTCAACTGAGTACGCAACATCTGATGTTGCAAAAGGAACACTTGATACAATCCAACCACATTGTTGTAAACAATCCATTTTACATGGCTCGTAATCAGTCTTTTCAAAAAGTGGTCGTTTTTTTACGTTGTTTGTTGAGAATTGCAGATGAAAATGCGGTTCATTAATATTTACAATTGGTTCCTGAGGCACCCAATCTTCGTAGCGATTCACATATAAAAATTTCAAATGCCTTATACCACTCATATGAGATATATAGAATTAATAGAAAATCAAATGGTGAAAATGCATTTCCTTTTTTTTATTATTTTCATCAATTTCAGTCACGTGTGATGCAAAATCACGTTCTCAAGTGCTTCCCATTGAAAACTGATACGAGTTTATCTAATTTCATTCTTCCTTGGTAATGACTGAATTAGTTGTAAGACTGGAGTCTTAAACACAAACGGTGGACAGGTGATATTGCTAACATTTGTTGGGTGTGCAGACGGTGTAATTTTTAGTGGCTCTAAACAAGAAATCGGAAGGCCGAGTTTGAATTACAGTCGTTCGTTATATTCACTTTCGCACAAATATATTTGTAAATACTATATATCCATCTTCTACATCCAGGTATGGTTTAAATAGTATGGCAGATAGTGTACTTCAGCCTTGATTGTAAGCTGATCTTGGAGAAGGAAAACCCTGAATTCACAAACCGAGTAGATGAAAAACTAGTCTGCGATGGTTATACTCGTGTAACGAGTCGATAGCCATCATATATATATATATATATATATATATAGAGAGAGAGAGAGAGAGATAGATAGATAGATAGATAGATAGATAGATAGATAGATAGATAGATAGATAGATAGATAGATAGATAGATAGATAGATAGATGTGCGTGTGTGTGTGTGTGTTTTAAAAATCGGATATAACTAAAAAATATATCTGTAAAGACCACATGAAAACTTATCTTAGCTGACGTATTTCGCCATCTGATGGCAAATGTAAGGATTTTATTTTACAAATATTTATACACAGAAGTAAAAACGTCGTTAGTTTTTCAGAATTGTAAAAATTAAGAGCTCATAAATATACTTAAGACTAACAGAGAGTCAAGGTACATGACTTGACCTCTGCACAAACATCACTCGACCTCTTTACCTCGCTATGTTCGAATTTGACTGATTTTTATTGAAATGTGGCAGCTTCGTTGCCTTCATGCTTTCAGCCATTAGTCTTAATATTCTGCATCTTTCTTCTCTGTTTACATTTTTCAACATTCGCTTCTTCACAGGTTTTCTTACTGGTCATTCTATTTTTTCTTTTTCTTTTCTTTTCTTGACATATTTTTTTTTTTTTTGCTTTTAATTGTTTTAAAATTTTATCTCTTTTCGTCCTTAAATATATTTTCCGAGATTTTGTCTTACCAATGTTTTATTTTACAAATGTTTTATTCTATCAATGTTTTATTGTACCAATGTTTTCAGAGTTCACATACAAAAAAAAGATTGTTCAGCTTTCTTTCAATTTCCTTCCCTTTACAATATTATTTTTCTCTTTTCAGATTATTTCTCATTGTAATCTTAATAAATCTGAAATTTAAAAAGATCTCATAAATCATACTGTTATATTTCTAATGAAAACATATTTTAAGCTAAAATTTACATTATATATTTATCATACAAATAAAGTATATCATAAAACGTTACAAATTTTGGCAGATCAATATCAATTTTCTTTTGTAAAAATTGGCTACATCCGACATATTGTAAACTTAAAGGTTTTCGTAATTTTTATAACGTTAATATCTCAGAACATGTTTGATTAATACCTATTTTATAATACTTCTAACAAAACATGAATGCTTTGCAAAAAGTTAATTGTCGGACCTAGCAAGCCATTTGCACATATGTTGGTTTGTATTGGACAATAAAGATTTGGATCAAGGAAGGACGAACTGTGAGCAAGACAAATGATACAGTTTTCTTATATACATACCGCCATACCATACGATTATAATTGTGTAACATTAGACATCATGTTTTCTATATACATTAAAGTATCCAAAAGCTAGGGGAAATTCGATAGAACGAACAAATCGAAGGTAATCCGGATTTTTGCATAAAAGTTTAGAAAATAGATAACAGATATAAATATAGGTACTCCACGGAAACGCTAAAAAATCAGCATACCGTGATGAAAAGATGCCTCAAACGTAATGAAAACATAGTTTTATCGTCAAAGTCGTTATTAAGAGGAAGGATCGAAGTATATTTAATTTTTTTTTTTTACGAAGTATATTTAATTTTACTCCTTTTTAGAACGTTCGAAAGTTTGATTAAGAACTCGTTTTTCTTGTGTCAGCGGTTGTACTAACTTTTAGCATAGCAAATTTGGGTCTCTTTTTGCGATGACAGACATATTAATTCGGAAATTATTTCAAAAATCAAATAATCGTCGGAATTTAATCAATTTTCAGGACTTATTCACAACTGAATGAAATTATTTTTATTAGAAAATCTTGGCGTTTTTTTGGGGTTTTTTTTTTTGCATGTGTTTCAGTCCCTTTTCATGAAAACTTGAAAAATTCAACGAGGTAATTTTTAGTGACTTTGTTAGTTAAAAGCAGGATTCTTTGAAGAATTTAAATCACCGAATTTTTATTATTTTTTTTTTTTTGCAAAATCGGACGCGGTCTTACCGAAAATCTGTTCTGAATCGAAAAATAAAACACGCAAGACATTAATAGATTAGAGAAGCTTTTAATTGTTTTTATGAATATATATTAAAGGCAATATTGTCTGAAGAAGAAATCATTTTGACGAAAAATGAATTTTTGCAAGATTTGTTTTCATATATTTACAATTTTAAATTGAATAATTTATGAAGTTTTAAATCTTTTAAAATTCAATTTCAATAAGATAATTCTTAGGAAATATTGTTATTAAGTAAAACTATACTTACTAATCATATATTGTAAATCTTATTACAATCTGACGACCATGAATATTTTTAAAAGAATTTCGATTTGTTTTTGTATATGTGATTACGTGCAGATTTTCTGAAGTATGGATGCACAAACCGATAAATCTAGCATTTAAAGGTCACGAGTTTTAAGAAAAAAACTTCATCGTCTGCTTCCCTATACTTAACTATGAATACCTTCAGCTGTCAAATAAATCGATTAACACGTCAGAAATATATAAGACCCCGTAGTTAATAAATGTTTGTATACATTTTGAGTAAGTAACATTTGTTTCAAATCAGATTAATTTAAGTTTAAATTTGCTAATTTTCCGTAAATAGCGTTTCAGAAATATATATTTTTTTTATTTTTGAAAGATTTTTAAAACCGAGAATTAACGTTTGGTTAAAAATGTGTGAAAAAATGACCGTTTTGATTGACTTCAATGAAAAAAAAACGATCAATATAATTTCTGTTTGAAATAAACCACAGGGTATTTTGCTTACTAGAAATAGTAAATTTAAAATACTTTAGCTTTCAATTAAAGCTAAAATGAAAGCTTCAAGAAGGCTTTTTCATTTTTTAAAAATCATTTTAAAACTTACGTATACCGAATTAGTGGAGGATCCTAAATAAATATTATAAATAATTCGCTATATACATGTTCAAGTCTGTTCATTGATTCTTAAAGGTACTATTGAGAAAAAGGATTCTTTTGTAAAAGAATCTTTTTTCTAAAAGAATCCTTTTTCTCAATTGTACCTTTAAGAATCAATGAAGAAAGTGTATGTTAACACTTTTTTCTTTGGTCAAATTCGCTTTTCCCGGTTAGTTGGCTATTCAAATGAATGTGATGTTAAAAAATTGTCTACATCTATGCAGACAAAATTAAATTACTTAATTCGTAAACGATTTGGATGCAGTGATGAACCTACTGGAGAAGGAATTATCTTTAATTATTCATCTTATGAGCTTCCCATTTGGAGACTCGTATCTTGGCTCATGGTTTGGATTTTTGTGTTCCATTTTCGATGCCTGACCGTGAGAACATTTTTTATAGACTTGTCCCTCGCTCTGTTGAATCTCTTAGCGATCTTAAGGCTAAACTCAAGAGTTATGCCCATTCTTATGCTGGCTCCTCTGTTTCTTCATCAGAGTCCAAATGGGGAGAACAACACCGCCGAGTAATTAAAAATTTGAAAAATAATTATAACCTGGTTATTACTAAACCTAATAAAGGAGTTGGTGTTGTTCTACTGGACTATTCGGATTATTTTTCTAAGATGGACAATATACTTGGTGATACATCAAAGTTCTTAAAATTAGGTCCAGTTGAGACCCATGATCGTACTGCCTCTATTGAATCTCAATTTCAAAGGCAACTGTTAAAGTGGGTCAAGAGTGGTTTACTCTCCTCTGAAATTTCAGAGTTAATTAGACCCACTGGGTCCATTCGTCCCCGTTTGTATAGGTTACCTAAAATCCATAAGGACGGTTTTCCTTTACGACCCATTCTGTCCATGATTGGATCTTTCCAGTATAAAGGGTTCATGTGTTCGTTTGATATCTGCTCCTTGTTTACCTATGTTCCCCTGTCTGAGACTATTAAGATGTGTTGCGATATGTTGTATCGTACCTCTTTGTCTCCTCCGGATTTTCCTGGGGGTGTGTTTGTGGAGCTTATGGTGTTCGCCACTGCGTCTGTCGAATTTAGTTTTAAATCTACGGGGTAGCTATGGGTTCGTCCTTGGGTCCAGCGTTGGCGAATATTTTTGACAATTTTCATGAGGCTTCCTTATTTTCTTGTATGAGTCGTCCTCATGTATCATCGTTATGTGGATGATACCTTCTGCCTCTTTAATAACGAGGCTGAAGCCGACAAGTTTATCACAAAATTAAACTCTGTCCATCCTGCTCTTAAGTTCACCGTGGAAAAGAGGTCCAATTCTTGTCTTTCCTTTTTGGATGTTCTTGTTCGTAGGATCATTGACAAGTTTGAGACTTCCGTATTTAGGAAGGCTACTTTCTCGGGACTTTATACGCATTGGGACTCTTTTTGCCCCAGACAACGAAAGGTTAATTTGATTAAGGCCTTAATTCATAGGGCACTTAAGTTATGTTCTGATGGCCTTCTCTGCGGTGAAATTGAGTTTGTTAGAATGACACTTTCAAAAAACGGATATCCTTTGGATGTTTTACACTCCGTTATCCAAGACGTCATTAGTAACTTTCATAGGGTTAAGCCGCATTTTGTTAATAAATGCCCAGTTTATCTGCGTCTTTCCTATATTGGTACAGAGGGTGAGACTTTATCTAGACGAATTTCACGTATGATCAATAGCTGTTATTTTTCGGCGAATGTTAGGGTAATATTTGTTACCCGTCCTTTTTTCTCTTCCATTCGTAAGGACGTCCTCCCCACCATCATGTTAACTCTATGATTTACCAATATAAGGGTAGTTGTGGACTCGACTAGATAGGGATGACGTCCCAGCGTTTGGATTCGGGAATAAAACAACATTCCCCCCAAGGATTTTGAATCCGGCTGCCAAGAAGAGCCAACTAACTTCTGGCTCTTTTTTTATCTAGGTCTCACTCCACATTTCCCTCAAGGTTCTAGAGTCCTTGTATATCAGATCCCGTGAGCCTTCCCTTTGTAAACAGAGGGAATGCTTACTGGGTCTGAATGTTATTGGACTCAAGTTTCTTGATATTCATTTTTTTCTCTTCCATTCTATTCCATTCGTTAATTTAATTTACACGCTTTCATAAATTTTCTATTCCCCCAAAAAATAAACTTGATAAGTCCTGGGACGAAATATATATATATATATTCCGTTTATACGTTTTATTTTATTTCTATAAGATGAAGCATTGATAAGCCCTTATTATTAATTTTTTACTAGTATTTATTTCTATTTTTTATTTGCTCTTAATCAGATAGTTCAGGATCAGTAATAAAGGATC